CGGCAGCCAGCGCAATTGACTCATTCAAACAATATCTGTAATTTAAAATATAATATTTTGAAATTGGTGTACACTTGCCACTTCATTTCATTGTTTCATTTCATCGTGTGGCCATAAATTTTATGCGCCTATTTTCCACGATTTTTTCCGGGTGGAAACGGGGCAAGAGCTTTGGAGAGTGGCCCCATACTTTTTAATTTAGAAAACGACCGAAATGCAGATGGGAACGGCACCGCACGATCCAGAGACTAGCTATTTTCTATCGCCAGTCTTTTGACGATTTAAACTCAAACCCTTCTATTTATTGATCTTCTCCGCTGGATTTTGGCATCCTTAAATTTGTTTAACTGCTACTGTGGAATCGGAGAATCTTGACGAGTAGTGCTAACGGCGGACTTAGAAAGACCAGGTTCCTTTGGGAGAAGTGTGGTGCCGATGGGTTCCCCGTCATATCCGAACCTTCAACCGAGCTGTAAGTGTATTCTTTAATTTCTTCAAGACTTTGTTTAGTTTGCACCTTCAGGGCAAAACCTCTTGCACAGACTGCTCTTGTGCTTTAATCAACTAAACACCTGTTTTTCTCGAGATGATACCTTCCGAACTTGGACGTAGACAGGACAGCAGTTTCTGCAGCAGTTGTTTCCCTCCCAAAGGATCCAACCAAACGCAGCTAAAATGATTGAAATTGTTAAAAGGCCAAAGAATAGTTTGTTAATGGACTAACCAGACTAAATTTGTGGATCTTTTGTCAAGGATTTCATTATTACGGTAGATTTCTCAACTCTTTTCAGGTGATTCAATGGGAATGTCCTTCAATTTGTCACAAACTATCGAATCACTACTTATTCCAACAAGGGGAACGCAGTTTAACGGGCAACAACATGGTCACCCGCTCGAGCAAGTAGGAGAAGGGGTGCATAATCAACTCAGTTCAAATCTAACTGAGGACGAGGACAGTGTTTCAAGAACTGGTACGCCGAAAACCTTTGCAGACAAGGCTGCCCGGAAAAAAGAAATCGACAGAGCATACAGAGCAAGACAGAAGGTAATATTCTGTTATCATTTAATCTTTGTCTGCATTTCTGGGGCTATGCTTTTTGGATATTTACCCTGTATTTTATCCTTCATTTTTTTCAGCAAAAGACCATGGATACGGACAGAGAAATGAGGACACTTAAAGATGAGAATTCAAATTTAAAGAATGAGAATCAAAGCTTGAAACTTGAAAATGCTTATATGATTCAAAATTTGCAATCTAAAGAAACTGAGATATTTCAGCTTAAAAGTAATCTTCTCGAATTGAAGTGTGACCATGAGAAGCAAAATGCCCTTGTGCAAATACTCTCAGACAGATTGGTAAGTCTTCCTCTCTTTTCCCTTTGAAACTACTTTATTTTCTTTAATTTTCTCGGTGATACTTGTTTACATTCAATCTTATTTAACTATAAATCATGTGTGTGTCTTAATGAAAATTGGTTAAGTTGATTAAATGTCTAGCGTGAGTGAAACTTTCAGATTGATGATTGTCTATTCCTTCTATTTAATATTTATACATATTCTTTCTTTCTTTATAGGCCTGCTCCGATCTCCAGCATGAAAACACGATGCTTAGATATCAAAATGCTCAATTGAGACAGAATCCTAGTCTGGATTGTAGAATAATCCAGCTTGTAAATGAGAATGGAAGATTAGAACTAGAAAATAGGAAACTCAGAGTGCAGAATGATGCTTTGTGTGGAAAAATAATCAAAGATAATGACAAGAAGCATATGCTTGAGAACTCACAGCAATAAGCAGCCATTAGTACATATGATCTCCTGTGAATTTTTTGTACAGTTAATTAGTTTTCTGATGTTTGCCAATTTGTACAGTTAGCCATCATTTGTAGCTTGATGATTAAGAGATCATCTGTAGAATATATATGCAGAAAATGCATGAACACGTTGTTTCAGTATCTTGTATGCAATGAATATTCAGTTTCACTATTTCCATTGCTCATCTAATTCAAGTATTCTTCCTTGTGTATTGCTTGTCTACTGTTATTCTTGTTTTTTTGGTACTAACCCCTTGGGTTGGACACCATAGGGAAAGTTCTTCCAATGCTTGTTTCTCCATTCACAAGATTCAAACTCGAGACCTTGAGTTTGAGACCTTGCTTAAGGGGAATTAAGCTCCTTCTATTTGGACTAACAAGTCGTAGGTGTCTATTGTTATTCTTAAATCCCCTAAATTTGGTTGTTATGCACTTTATGATGAAACTTCTGGCGTTATTGCAGGCTGGTGTTGCAGTAATAAGATTGGAGCTTTTCTTTGCTTTTAAATAATCAATTAGTGGTTGTCATATCTCGTAGCCTAGTATTTATTGAGCTCTTTACCGTTGAGAAACACCAGATTCAAGAGAGAAAAATACTGGGAAAGGCAAGTTCAATTTATACCAAATAACAATAGCCTTTATATAGGCTTTACAGAACAACTAAATCTTAACTAATGTTGACAGCATCCTAATTAACTAATGGGAACCATAACAACAACTTTAGGAATATTGGGATTGGAATCTTCTCAACATTCCCTTCCTTAAATTGAAAGTTTTCAAAAACTTTAGTTTAGACTACACTTGTGTGTGCGGTAGAAATTTTTGTCATCCTGCAAACACCAAGTAATTTTCTGTGTTTTGAAAATGTTGCCATTTTGAGAGGGCTTGGTGAAAATATCTACAACTTGGTTCTACAATAAACCAAAATCACTAGTTCCATCTTCTACCAAATTATGTAGAAAGTGAAACTTCTTGACACCAATGAATTCATTATTATCCATGTTGATAATAAGAGAATACTAATAATTCACAGTGTAGCTATTGATTTTAATGCAGATTACAAGTACAGGGAATCATTGTACACATAACTGACATAACAGAATACTAATTCACAACATAAAGCCATCTGAATCAATTCAACAACAGTAATACCTTTTCAATCATTTTCTATCTTCCAGTTTAGCAATAGAAGAACAGCACAAGGCTGCTGGCAATATCATAGCATTAAGTCTTCTCTTCATTTGGTAAAGCATTGATTCCTTCTCTTCCACTGCAGCGCTTGTTTCTTCCAGATCACTTTTCATGAGATTCGTCTCTTCTTTTTTCTTCTTGACCTTGGCTTTCATCTTCTTGAGAGCTGAATATGCTTTCAGTTCCTATTCAAATTCATTGTTTCATGAAAAAGAAGGGACAGAATATGCACATAGTATAATTAAAGATAGTGCAAGGCCATGAAAATATGCAGCTATCTACCTCAATCTCAAGCATTGTTATGTGGCGCTTTCTGTTGACCATTTTCCCACACATTTTCCCTTTTTCTTCCGGGGTTTCTTCTCCACCTAAGGAAATAGAAAATTTCTTTATTCAGTATGAAAATTAAAGCTGCTCTTTTTCATGATTCAGTATCTGGGAAGAGAAATTCAAGTAGTTTCTTCCAAGGTAAGAATCTTTGACTCTTCTTTTGTTTTAGTGTAAAAACCACTTTGTTTCCCAACCTTTTCCCTAAATATCAGAAATTATGTACCTCAAGCTTTGATTTGGACAAAAAAATGGTGCTCGGTCCTCCTTTTCATTTCATCGATTAAGAACTTTAGCCTAATCAACTGTAACTGTCCCTTTTTTAAAGGGAAAAAATATATATGTGATTATTTTCTAATGTGGGATTATCATTTTAACAGTAACTTTTGTAAAAGTTCTGTTTGAATGGATGTTGTTTAGCAATAGTCTTTAATCATAAATTCATATAAAACACTGATAAATAGTATGAAAAGTTGATACATTTCCATTAAACAATAGTCGTTTTAATTTAATTTTTTGGTTTGTAAGATAAATAAGTTTGGGATTTCTAGGTAAAGTTATAATTTCATATAGAAATAAAAATTAAAAAATTTTTCTGAACTACTAAACAAAAATTAAAAAAACTATTGTTGAACATAGGTAGTAAATATTATCAAATTAAAAAAATTTAACAATAAAAAGTCTATTAAGAGCCATCATGTTTAAAGTTTTAACTTCTAAGCTTTAAAAGCTACAATCAACTTTCAAACCAATCAGAAAACCATTTCAAGATATTTGACCAGTTTCAATCTTCACAACAAAAATATGTTTTTCAGAAGATGGATATAGCCAATTCTAAGTCCCAAACGGAAATCCTACATGGCTAAATCATAAGACCAACACAGGACTCAATGGAAGGATTGGTTTCTTTAATTTGATTGGTTTCTTTAATTTGTTGGGAATTGTAATAAATCCCCCAGAGATAAGATCCCAGGGCATAGGGTGAGTGGAGGATAGTCACCCTCCACCCATGCCACCAGAGATCTATTCCCTACTATCTCAATTCCCCTACCCAACCAAATATCTCCATTTACCTATCCCTTAACCCTAAGTTCAAAAATAAATAAACAAATAAATCCCCGTGAGATACGTACAGTCCGTTAGTCCCTGTCTGTTTGGTTTCCCGGAAAGTTGGAGTGGGATAAATTTTATATTGTTTAATTAAACAACGATGTGAAACAAGAAACTTAAGAAATTGGTTGTCTTGAAAGAAAAAAAAAAAGAAAGAAAGAAAAAAAAAACCCACCAATTTTAGTGGCGTTGGTATCTGGAAATAATATATGATCCGGAGATAGCGAACAACTGATATTCTCTGCCTTGGATCTCCTTATCTTTGTTGTTCCCAGCGCAAACATGATTAAAGAAGAAGAAGAAAT